TTTCTGAGGAACTACATTGTTTGGTGGAAGAATACTGTTTTTATTAATATCCTTATACTTTATTGGCTCTGTTTTATTCTGTGAAACCTTACTACGTATATGGAATAACCGTTTTATAAAACTCCGCTTCGCGTCGTGCCTAACAACGCTCCTTAGCTGTTATAAATTCACTGTAAACCACGGCTTCTTGGGGCTTATTGCTTTATCATTGGTCTGTAAATTTAAGTGACAGCCATGCGTTTAACCACTAACACTTCCTGAGGTCCGGGAGAAAACATCATCCAAGGCGACTGTAAACAAATAATGGCGTAAAATAGTGTTGATGATGATATTCAAATGCCCACTCGAAGTAATTTAGTGTCAGAATTTAAGGCATGCGACTTAATGATAAAATAACGAGTGATATTTAAAGGCAAAATGCACTACAGAATGAGAGCTGTCAGTTACTCATATAATAGTACCTAATTAATGCATAACCCGCGATCTAAAAGACATCTAAAAGACGCGTAAACCCACTAAGCAGCTAAAAATAATCTTCATTCCTCACTTGCCATCTTGTATGTTTGGCAGTCTGAGCTTGTTTAGGCTATTTTAAGTCAACGAGCAGACAAGTATAAAGTTAACTTTTTTAATTTCAGCAGAGTGCACCCGGGGGAATGAGGCAAGTGCGGTGAACGGGTGCCCATGTTCCAGCACGCCCGGAGGAATGTGGACATTTCGGGAACGGCAGAGTCACTACATCACAGAGCCATCTGGTACCAAGCCAACATCCTATGCTTTCCCAAAGGGATATTCTAGAGCTTTGCGGTTTTAAGTGGGCAAGGAGTCAAAGCGTTCACAGCTATTATTGGAACGCAAGCTTACTTTTTCTCCGACAGCGATGCTTCCACACTGCAGGGTGTTGATGTCTTCTCTGCATTTGTCCATAAAGCCGCATATGAGCCGATAGTCGCTGAAGATGATGCTGGTCATCTTGGTGATGTACTGATGGCACTGGCGTTCTGTGATGTTGATGCGGTGGTCCACCAGGCAGGACATCAGATAGCCTTTCCCCCGCTCCTCATCTGCACACTCTTTCAGCTGAGAAACAGATTTAAGGTTCTTTTCATTAACCGTGAGAAGAAGCAGTCAAGGATCAATGCTGCAGACATGAAGAATTTACATTCCTTATTTAATATCAAGTCAATTTCACTAATGGTAATTAAATTGTGTATTCAACCACAAATGTGCATCAAAACACACACACACACACACACACACGTGAAGAGGTTAGTGGGAAACTTTTGTCTATTGAGATTTATTTTAATTACATTATGGCAGCTCAGAATGCAGTCAAACATAAAATCACACTGCATTACAAATGTAGAAGTCGGTTCCTCTACATTGAAATTAGGGCTGCAGGATATTGGGAAAAAAGGCATATTTCAGCAATATATATTGAAAAATACAGGATTTTTTTGGTTACATTTTACAATAAGGTTACATTTGTTACAACATTTATTAATCTATGTTAACCTTAGTTAATAAAAATACAACTGTTTATTGTTAGTCCATGTTAGCTCAGTTCCATTAAATACCATTAATAGATACTTTTGATTTTATTATTGTATTATTAAATGTTGGAATCAACTTTAACTAAAGATTAATACATGCTTTAGAAGTATTTTCATTGTTAGTTTATATGTTAACTAATGTTAACAAATGGAATCTTATTGCAAAGTGTTACCAGAATTTCTTAATAAATTAATTTCTTAATAAAAAATAAATAAACCTTTTTTGAGTGTGAACTCTCCTTTGAGGACTCAGTTATTTGTGAAATAACATGAAAATTTTATTTTTATTGTGATTATTGTTAAATAAAAATATTAAACTAATTAATATATTATAATAACACAATTGTGCTATAAAATTTAAAAAAAGGATTTAATAAAAATAAATTTCCAAAAACATAACGGAATAGATTTATTTTTAAAGTTTAAACTATCAAGCTTTTAATTAGATTGTTTGCCAACAAATAATACGGTCTTTGTATCTGTGTGCTTCAGAACGAAATGTGGCATCATTTACACAGGCACGGCTCATGATAACAGTGTTTCAGTATGTCAATTCACAGTAGATGAATTAAAACACTCTGAACCACTTAAACACTGGATCATAAACTGAAATGACTGTGAAATCAGCAGCGCATTTATTTAATAAATTAGAAGCACTAAGCCTTATTGCGAGTTCAACTGTATTTTGATATATTGTGCAGCCCTAACTGAAATCACAACACACTCACACTCACACACACACACACGAGTTGAAAGCATGATTAAACTGTTGGGGAAATAACGAGCAAAGGACCAAAAGAAAATCGACTCGGCAAAACAACAGCAGAAACTGACCTCTAACATGGTGCTCGTACACACTTCCAGCGCCACGGACTCAAACTTCGGATCTGTGGTCAGATTCAGCTTGTAGTTCCACAACAGCTGGCAACATTATTAGAAATATAAAACATTAGAAATATACATAATGTGACTTTGGTGTTTGGTGAGTGTGATCTTTTCAATCAATCTTTTGATTCAGTTCACAGGTATAAATGGTTCATTTATTAATCAGACTGTTTCAACTCACTGTAAAGAATGATTATCAGCAAATAAAGATGTAAATTTCGATCTATTTTTCACACAAAGCTATTGTATGACTTCAGAAGACTTGAGATAGAGCACACTAGTCGTATGCATGACTTTTATGATGCTTTTACATCCTTTTTGAAGCTTGAAGGCTTCAGTTCCCATTGGTTATATAACTGCACTGAAAATATTAGTGCAGTCTTCAGTCCCCAATTTCTCTCTTTCATGTTCCGCTGTACAGGTTTGGAACAACTCAAGCATGAGTAAATAATGACAATCTTAATGTTCAAGTGAACTATTCCTTCAAGTCAGTGCTTTCAAAAGAACCTCTAGTTTCGTGGAGTCTTGAAGTTTACCAAGGTCAAGTCTGGCAATGCAGTTAAAAAGATGTAATGCTTTCTTCCTTTTATGGTTTGAGCAAGAAGTAACTGCTTCTGAAACGGATTTCACTTCAGATAGAAAAATGAAACGTTCTCTTCAAAACAAAAAGATGTCAGTTGAAGTAAATGGCCTTGTAGTTACTGTATCACGCTCCACAGCTCAAAAGCTCTCTGTAATGTGATTGCACATTAACAGTGACACTAACTAAAAGTGCTGATAAAAGTTTAAAAAACGCAAGAATAATTTCTTTATTATTGCTCAACTATGAGCCTTGCGTAATGAGACGGGTGACTCAGGCCTGAATCATACTAGGGCTGTAAAAAAAAAATTTGAATTTCGAATATTCGTCGAATTTAAAATAAAAATCCACATTCGAATGCAAAAACGTAGCATTCGAATTTTAGGTGTGCGTCAGGCAGCCTTATCAGTGGCGCACGAAATGCGGCGACGATGTAAGTGTCATTGCATTTTAATGCTTTTGTTAGTCTATCCAGTTGAACCTACTAGATGCGGCGCTGCTACGTTGTTCATTCAAAATATTGCGGGGAAAAAATAACATCAGTGCGGAGATGATGTTGTTTCGTCCAAACCGAAACCAAACCGTTCACACAGAATGCATATTTATCACATTTTCTAGAGGGACATCTATCACCGTTGCACTCGCGTCTCGCACAAGAGAGCCGCATGTTTAGAAAGTCATGGAAAATTAATGTAAGTTCAACTTTTTAAAGACATGTCTCAAGACTTTATGGCGGTTTTTCCCCATCCT